GAGAGAGAGAAGAGAAAGAAAAAGAAAAACATTCATCAGCTCGATCATGCATGTAACTAAGGGACCGACCCGTGACTCAGGTTCCCGTAAACCACCGCGGTGTTGATCCCAGGCGCCTTATTGTTCGAAGCTGCCCTGTAGATCGGTTGCAGATGGCGTGCAGCATAAGGCAGATGGCATGCGTAGTGCATTCGGAACTACAGATCTAAACACTCTTGCATTCTCGGACAAAATCCCGACGACAATCGTCTAATCAACGCAAAAAAACACGCACCTCCATACATACATTCACTGTGGAAGGTGCGAAAATGAGGTATGCACAGGGATAAAAGATGGATCGCTGAATAATACACACGCATCCACCGTTCACAAGACACGAAGACGGGGCTCTTGCATAGGGGGACTACCCAGGAAACTAATGGAAGAGTTCCGGAAGAAGTTCTTTCACACAGGAATAGCATGCAAACTCATTCCCATTAGAGAGAGAAAAAGAGATCGAGACTCGACATCATTCAAAGATAGAGGAGAGAGAGAGAGAGAGAGGAGGGAGGAGTGTCGAGATAGAGGAGGACAAAATCTGAGAAGAGGAAGTTCGGCGTTACCGCCGTACACTCACGCCAAAGATAAAGATCCGCAACAACAAAGGCGCATTCGCCGTGGATTCCAATATGGCCCCAGGCCAATCACCCACTCAACTTCAATCATTGATCCTCATACCCGCACCGACGATCCCGGTCGTCGCGTGCTAACTCCCACCACTGCGATCGTCACTCCGCTGACGTAAACTCGGCGCGGTTCGCCCCGATCCCACAGTCCGTCGTGGCGATCAAGCGCGCAACCGGCCAGCCTATCGTCAGCCCGACAGGACTTTCCGACTCGCACCAAACACTCTGCCTAGCCACTGCTTCCCGGAAGCTAGCTTGAGAGTCGAGAACGTAAGAGAGATTTGCGGGTGCGCTTGCGGAATTTATAGCAGAGAGGAGGGAGCCAAGGGAGGGAGAATGCAGGGTGAAAGTCGAAGTGTAAGAGGAGAAGCAGGAGGAGAAGACTTTGAGAGGAGCGCTTCACGGAAGCCATGTTGATGCTTCGAAACTCCAAATTAACCAATCAGACTTGTCGCGCGATAGGTAGATCCTACCGTACCCCGCATCTGATTGGTGGGCAAGAGTAATCGAAGGATCGACCGGACTTCACGAGCTTTGCTTGGAGAGAAGAAAAGGCGCGAGAAGTAGCGCAAGACAGGTCCAAGATTCAGATGATCAAGAAAGAGGAAATGGGCGCGCAAAGAACTGAGCGGGAGAGAGAAAGGGAGGGAGAAAGACAGTTACGAGGAGAGAGGAGGAGGGGGAAGGAAAAAGGAGCGCGGGAGAGGGCGATGCGGGGGACAGAGAGGAGAAAGCTTTTGCATGAGTGGCGTCGTCAACAAAAAACAAAAGAAAAAGGCACCGAAACAGTTACAGCTCGCCTACGTCCTAAACCAATTCAAAATTGAAATCACCATATCCGCGCGCGAAAGAGCAATGCGGGAAAAGAAAGTCCTACGCCTATTCGTATCCTTGCAAAATTCCGAGAGTTTTCCCCGACGCGACCGAGAACATTCACACACAAAAAGGACACGTCGAAGTTTCGCTTATCCCGAAAATCCCAACTGCCGGACCCAATTCCCAGTGCGCTCGCTAAGGCGCGTGTGATTTCCTATGCCTTTCCCGACGTGCAAAAAGAAAAGAAAGCAAAACCGAAGAATCACAAAAAGTTTCCGAAAGATGGGGGCCAAAAACGCGGCACCCGAAATCAAGAAACGAAACGGGGTTTTTAGGGGGGTTGGTATGATACAAACAAAAGAAAGGGTACGAAAGATAGCACGGGTTCAGGAAGTAGTTCGTCACACCCTGAACCTTACCTTTGGGCCTTGCTGCACTACTCAGCACATGCACAAAAGACAAAAACTATGGCGGTGTATACTTCCATATTTTAGTGGGAAGATTCCTTCATTCACATTTTGCACAGTTGGTGAGTGGTGGAGCGAGGGCGTTTGGCCGTCCCTTCCATCACTTATTAGACCCCGCCTGCCCCAAAACAAGCCCCCCAAAAAAAAACGCCCACTCAAAAAAGAAGGCCGAAACGAAAAAAAAATCGTCCACCCCAAAAAAGGAAAGGTCGGGCAACACCTGTCATGGCCAAACAACGACCTATTGAACCTGCCGTTGGTCGCCCGCGCTCCAACCTCTGAGCCGACCGTTTGGGCCACCGGTCTCTGCCCTGCCCCCGACCCTGCACCTTGTCCACTCCCCATAACCCCGTTATGACTCGCCAACATTTCCACAAAAGGACGCCCAGCTACACGACAAAGTGCAACGGGTAAGACGCAGCCTCTAGCTGCGAACAGCAAGGTCCGGCGCTATGTCCCAGTACCCGGGGTTTAGTCTTCCCTTTGAGTATTTTTCAACGTGGCCACACTGCAGCCGTGAGATGTCCAGATCGGATGGCAAGAACCCATGCATCCTCCAGAGACCAAGTCTTATACTTATGGACTGGCCACACCACTGCGGAAACGAAAAGAGAACAAACGCATCTGCCACAGAAAGTGGTAAGATGCATGCATCCTTTGCTATTCATAGTAGAGGATGCATCTTGCCCTTCTCTGTCGGAAGATGCATTGGTTCGTTTTTGGTTTCCACAAGTCTTATACTTATGGACTCGCCACACCACTGCCGAAACAAAAAGAGAACAAATGCATCTGCCACAGAAAGTGGTAAGATGCATGCATCCTTTGCTATTCTAGTAGAGGATGCATCTTGCCCTTCTCTGCTGGAAGATGCATTGGTTCGTTTTTGGTTTCCACAGTGGCGTGGGGAGGGCCTTACCCGCCTGTCTCCAGGACGGGATGATAGAAGACGCATGTAACATGTCCGAAACCCACTTCCATCAGGGCTGGGAGGTTGGCCCAGCCTTGGTGCTTGTCACTGCTGTCTGGTCGAAGTTGCCCTCGGTACTGGTAGGTTGATGGTCCTGAGTGCTGGTCACACTGAGGTAAGATAGTACAGACAGGGGTTGCGCTGGGAGTATTAACGTGGGGATGGGTAGGGTAGGTGGCCTATCCTGTCAGGACGACCATTGGCTGCGACTGCCAGCAATCCCCGTGGGTCTGGTCCTTGGCCTCTACAACACTCTGGGCTTACACAACAACAACAAAAAAAAAAAAAAAAAAAAAAGGATAAGATAAGTGAGCAAAATATATACAAAGAACATTGAAACGGTCTGTTTTTCATCACAACCGTAAAAGGGGGAGCTAGTCGGTCATGTTTTATCAGGCGCCCGTTTACAAGGGCTGAAGAGGCTCCCCCCCCCACTTTTTTTTTTCCCATCACCCCTTCGAAGTCAATCCCCTGGGACCCAGGGCGATCAATGCTCGCAGGCTTGTAACTTCGTGAGATATTTCCATACGCTGTACATGGGACGCTGGACCCTTTTTCCAGCAGGTGTGGCTCCCCACTAATAGACGGAGCCTCCCCCACGATACTAGCGGTGTCTGCTCGTATCAGCACCCCTAGTAGCCTGAAGGGAGTTTTCTCAACAAAAAAAAAAAGAAAAAAAAAAGAGAGAGAAAAATAAGATTAATTAAAAAAAAAAAAAATAGTAGTCGAGCAGCCTCGTGATGCACGACTTCGTATTCGGTCTGGTCAATCCGACGATCGCCATGGCCATTACCATCGCTTTCAAGGAAAGGGGTTATTAACCGGCCGACTACACGAGGGGAACAAAGTCGGGGGAACGAGACCCACACACATTCGACTCCAAGAAGAGGGGGAGTTGGGGTGGTGGTTAGACATAGGCGTGAGGAGGAAGGGAAAGAGGAAGAGGCGAGGAGCGTAGAAAGAGGGGAGGGGGTACACATTTCAGAATATAGAGATACGGACACCAAGTCGTAAGGAGGAAGGGAAAGAGGAGGAGAGGAAGAGCATAGAAGAGGGGAGGGGCCACGGATTTCAGAAAAGAGCTACGGACACGAAGAGGAGGAGGAGGAGGAGGAGGAGAAGGAGGAGGACGAGAAGACCATCGAGACGTCGCTGGAGTGCGAGCGAAGAGAGACCATCGATACGTGTCTGAAGCGTCCCACGTGGCAATCATCAATCCGCAGTAAGGGTCGCGACCGATGGAGCAAGCGGGGCAGCCAGCTGTGCCTGAGCCGGGATCGCGGCCTCCTCCTGCTCCTCTCATCCTGTATTCGTTCTATCGGAGCTCGTGCGCTTGGCGGGTGCGTAATGCTCTCGAGCTGAAGGGGGTGAAGTACGAGTATCGCGCAGTAAACATCTTCGAGAAAGAACAGAAAACCGAAGATTTCGTCCGTCTGAACACGCTTCAACAGGTTCCGGTTCTGGTCGTAAACGATGGACGTACCATTGGAGAGTCGGTGGCCATCTTGGAATACCTGGAGGAGGTGTATCCGGAGCCCAGACTGCTGCCTTCTTCACCGTACGATCGAGCCATCGTACGGCAACTGGTAGAGATTATCAACTCAGGAACGCAGCCGCTGCAGAACCTAAGGGTTTTGCTACGTGTGGGAGAGCTCGGGGGCGACGCTGAGCGTACCAAGTGGGCGCGAGATGCCATCGTTCGTGGTTTGGGCGGGTTCGAGGACATAATTCGACGGACGGCCGGGATTTATTGTTACGGAGATCAGATCACGTGGGCAGACGCGGTGCTCGTTCCTCAGGTTTTCAATGCGCGCTTGTATGGCGTGAACCTGGACGTCTTTCCAACCATCCAGAGAGTCGAGGCAGCGCTGCTCGAACACCCCGCTTTCATGAAAGCCCATGCAGGCAACCAGCCCGACACCCCGCCAAAAAATTCGGCCGATGCTGGGCAAAAGTTAAGTGGGGAAATACGCTGAGTGAATAAAACCACATGCAGGCAGTGAGCCCGACAGCCCGCCGAAAATTTCGGCGGATGCTGGGCAAAAGTTAAGTGGTGAAATATGCACGCAACCATCTCCACACACGCAGCCAAAAAATGCCCACGGTAAAGGAATGGCCGGGCAAATTAGCGGGAACTGGCAAATCGATTTCAGCGTGGATATGGTATACGCGGGTGACGTGAAAGGGGTGAGAGAGAGAGAGAGAGAGAGAGAGAGAGAGAGAGAGAGAGAGAGAGAGCTGGCGGGGGGAGCAAGGGGGGGTTCAGAAAAACATAGGGTATACATCGGGAAAAGAAAAGTTTGAGGGCCGGTTGACAAGAGTATAGAGGAAAAAAAGAGGAGGGAAGGGGCCAGGGGGGAGGGAGGGCGCGATGTGGGGGAGAGGGGGGGTTGGTTAAACACTGTAAGAGAGAGGAGGCTGGGGTAACTAACGTGCGACGTGTGACAGCGGGCTAGCTGGGAAAAAGGTCAGGAGAGAAATGACCGAAATAGAGGGGATGACAGTAGCAGTTAGCAGGAGGATCATGAACACCTGGGCTTTCTTGGACGTACCTGGCGTCAATTGCAGCAAGATTCGGTGAATGGGGACTGACGAGGACGGTCACGATCCGCGCCTTGTTGGCAGATATAGGTAGATTGAGAGGGGATATAATGAACGCTAGGAGTTTTCGGGACGTACCCGGGCGTCAATCACTGCCAAATTCATTGGAAAATGTCGGTGTTCGAATAATATGAACGGGAACAGAGGGAAGAGCAGGGAGGCGAGAGGGCAGGCCGGTAGAGGAACAGTACACTTGCTTGTGTGTACCTTATGCTTGTGTAAATGTCGGTAGTGGTCATTTGGTTGTCATTTGACGTGTCTTGTTCTTTGTAAAGAGAGAGAGAGAGAGAGAGAGAGAGAGAGAGAGGATAAGAAGACAGTTATATAGACAGAGGGTAAGGATTCTGACAGTTGGATAGACAGAGGAGAGAGAGAGTTGGATAGAGGACAAGGGAGAGAGACAGATTGGAGGAGAAACAGTCCCAACCTGCAGGCGTTTGTGCGCTATACATATGCCTGGATGACTCTATGGACTGCGGTTTTGTTGGTGGTGGCGCTACGCTATTCTTGTTGTGTTTTTTCTTCTTCTTCTTGATTGCTGCTCTTGTTAATAGGTATTGTGAGTTGCTGCTGTTGTGTGTACGTGTATGTGTATTTTGTGTCTGTGCATGTGTATGTGTACCTGTATGTGTATATGAATGTGCATGTGTATGTACTTGTTCATCTTGATTGCTGTTGGTTTGTTAGTGAATACTGTGTGTTGCTGTCGTTGAGTGTATGTGTATGTGTGTGTGTATTTGTATTTCTAGGATGTGTATATGTACATGCATGCCGGGGCAGCCCGTTGTGTGCGACACTGTCCTATCGTTGTTGAAGAGAGAACTGTGCAAGGAGGTGCAAGCAATTGTGCTTGGCATGATAATTTGTACACTAACCAGTCAGTGTAAGGTTTTCAATCTGGACCCAGAGATGTACTCATGAGTGGGAGGACGTAGAAATGATATCCGGCCTTTTGAGGTTTAGAAGCCCACCATGGATCTCATTCCGACTACAATTTCGAACAAATGGTATAAAATTATAAATTGTGGATAACATCAAACTCTTTAAGCGAGGGGAAGGAGAGAAGTGCAACAGTTAAGGAATTACATGAAGAATGGCTTGGTGTCTCTGGAAAAAAAAAAAAGAAAAAAAAAAAGGGGTTTAATTGCAGAAATCCAGGGGTATTTCGCAACACTTAAGGGCGTCCACCTGATTTCGATGATTCGTTTAGGACATAGATCCCTGTTTTTCAATGAAGCCGCCGGCAAAGGAATTTTGGGATGCTTACTCACCCCAAGATAATTGGCTGGTGGGGTTATCGTGGTTTGGTCAGGATTGAAGTATAGGTACAAAATCCCCCTTAACCACCCTCAGATAAGTGGCTGAGGCTCTTCCAGCCCTAATGGGAAGAGAGGCGTGCATATAAGTGTTGTAATCAATTTCATAATTGGAGCCTTCGGCACTGGGCCCTTTCGTTTAAAAAAAAAAAAAAAAAAAGTCGTCTGTGGTGTTATCCAGCTCTGATCATAATCAAGGTATTCTCTTTTTTGTTTCTGGTTAGCCACCAGCACCACCTAGAGTGTCTTGTTCCTCTGGCAGATTTCTGCTGTGCACCAATTCGAAAACAAATGGGCGAAGCCCACAACGAATGCGATGGTGGAAAAATTGTGGGCGAAGTCTGTGTGGGAAAGGCGCTGGTGGTTTAAAGTTTAAACCAGCAGGACTTTTTTTTTTTTTTTTTTTTTTTTTTTTTTTTTGCAATTATACAGTTGGATTTCATCCATGTCAGCTACGATAGCAATAAGGTCGTGACAAAGTCGCGGCAGTGAACAAGCCGCCGCGATGATGATCGCATCATCGGAACACTCCATACATTGGCGCGTCAGTTCGGTTGAGTAGAAGCGCTTCTACTCTATATTTTTTTTCCGCGGTGGATGTATGGGTCAAGTACCGCTGGTTTAACCACCACTACGTCTAAGGCTGTTCTTTACTGTCGTTCCAATTTGTTTGTGTGCCTTGGTGGCACTATCCTTTTTGGCCCAGTAGGACTGTTCATCTGAAATTTTCGGGACCCGTCGTTTGGCCTGTGTGGGACTGGGGCGGTGCTTGCATGTGGGACTTGTCATCTAGGATCCGTTTTTTGTGCTGTTGTTTATTGTCCCCTGCTCTGTTGTATTTGGCTGTTTCCTTCCTCTCTTCTTTGCCTCTTTGGGCCTCGCCACACCACTATCGAACACGAATTCTCCATAGTTTCGCATCGCCACACAACCTATCGAAAAATGCAGCTTCGAAAATTTTAGATAGGTGTCAGCCATGGGAATTCGATACCCCTATCGAACGAAATGTGCATGTCCGCCTGCAATTGCCTTCTCTTCTATAGCCCACATTCCGCACCATCGAAAAACCGCCCACACACCCGCTAGACGACAGGACCCGCACACAGACGACAGACAGTCGAAAGCGGACCCGGAACGGAAAACATTCGATACCCCACCGATTCGACAGTGCTGTGTGGCGAAAGGGGGGGGTTCTATCGAAGTCCGGACTATCGAATTTTTCTAACACATCTCGAAAAAAAACACGATTCGATAATGGTGTGGCGAGCCCCTTTGACCTTTGGCTGTGTGCAAGTGGGTCGATATGACACACGGGGGTGGGGGCAGCCGCTGCTCAACCTACATCCACGTGGGCGGTTTCTGAACAGGGGGAGTTGTAAGGAAGAAGATAAAAAACGATTTATTTATTTTTTTCAGCGCTCTGATATTCATGTGACGATATATATATATATATATATATTAAACAGTTCGTCACAGCCCCTCGTTTGTTGTCCTCTTCTCTCTCTCTGCCTACGGTTTTACCGGGCAGTTCTGTTTGTGACGATATCAGTGAGGGGATTCTGCAGACTGTTGAGGGTTCAGCCTCCTGATGAGTCGGTGAAACTCCGACGAAACAGTTTGTCACAGCCCCTCGTTTGTTGTCCTCTTCTCTC